GAAATGGATTCAGGGCAGTTCCCGTTTATGGTCTGGTATGTAAAGAGCTTGGAAGTCATCACTCCATGCTAACAATGAGTAAAAATGGAACAACCTGAAAAATCAACCCTTCTTCTTAGATCCGTTGGAGAATTGAGGTTGCGGAACAAACTGCTGCCCTCAAAACTGGAGAGACAGGCGAATACAGAGAATTACAATTTCCCAGAGTGAAAACCCACAACTGGGAGCAGTGCTGGGGCAGGAAAACCGGAACTGGGCTTGATGAATTTCTGGAGGCTCTTTGCGGACAAGCCTGAGAGTTAAACACTCCAACTGGAGGGAGGGGGACGGTCTTAGGGAGGCCTTCGCACTTTTGGGGTTTTACCTCCAGGAGCCTTACCAGGTTCTCCCAGTGAGGATCGGAGCAGGGGGTTCCGGCAGGGGGAGAGGGGGAAGTAGATATTTTGAAACACACCAGAGTACTCCATTCTTCTTAACAAGGCCTACCTTCCAGAGAAATTATTATATCAAAGCCTGACCTATGGAGGTTTTGTCAGAGTCTGACAGACCTGGGAGAAGGGAAATAAATCCCCTACTCATGTCCCCTCTACCCATCCTATATCGCCTTAGGAGAGGAAAGCCGAGAAGCACTGTGATGCTCACAGTGCAGAGGCACAGGCTCACGAAAAGACAGGTCTACAGAAGGCTTCCTCAGCCCTCACACCTCATCACCACATTGCTAAAGGTCTATTTACTGCGGGTCCTTCGACCTACTTCATCATGTCTGGCTTTCAACAAAAAAGCACAAGCATACTAAAGACAAAAAAACCAAAAACCAAAAAACAAAACCCACTCTGAAGAGACAGAGCAAGCATCAGGACCAGACTCAGATATGGCAGAGATACTGGGATGATCGGACCAGCAATTTAAAATACTATGATTAATATGCTAACAGCTGTAATGGAGAAAGTAGACAACATGTAAGAACATGGCCGCAGTTAGCCACCAGGGAGCATGTGAAATAAGGTTTCTAGCTGGGAAGCCAGATGTGCTGTTAACCTTTGGGGATTTTATTTCTAAAAGCAAGGAGGGGAGAATGCATACTGGGGGATACTTAACATTCTTTTCCACAGTGTCTTTTCATCAGTTTTGGAAAATTCTCAGCCTTTGTCTTTTTTACTATTGCATAGTCCCTATTCTCATTTTTCTTCTTCTACAAATTCGAGTAAGTATTTGTGTGACTTCAGTGTCTCTGTTGTGCATTCTGGATAATTTATTTAAATCCATCTTCTAGTTCACCAGTTTCAGCTGTATTTAATATGCTATTTAACCCATATCTTGAATTTTCGATTTTAATTATTATACTTTTAATTTCTAGAAGCTTTATTTGGTCATCTTTCAATAGTACTTGGTCATTGTGTAGTCTCTTGTTCTTTTGTTATACTTTTGATACTTCCTTTAAAAAAAAAAGATTTTATCTGTGTATTTTTCGAAAGAGGAAGGGAGGAAGAAAGAGAAAGAAACATCAGTGTGTGGTTGTCCCTTGTACACCCCCTACTGGGGACCTGGCCCACAACCCTGGCACGTGCCCTGACTGGGAATCAAACCTGTGAGCCTTTGGTCCAAAGGCCACTGCTCAATCCACTGAGCCACATCAGCTAGGGCGATACTTCATTTTTTAAAACTATTTTGATCATGTGTATTTTTTATTTGTGTCATATAATTTCAAGATCTATTTTTGTAGGATTGATACTTACATGTATACGTTTTTGTCATGCATAGTGGCTTGTTTCCTTGTATATTTTGTGTTTTTTTAAATGACATATTTTAGAATTTTCTATGGGAATCCCTTAAGGCCCGTATTGGAAGGACAGCCCTGCACAGAGGGGTTGTTGCCACACACTGCTGGGCAATACTCCCTCTGGACCAACCCATCTAGAACTTTTTAAAAAATGTTTTAAACTTTTCTATTTGTATTGCACTGTCACAGTCTAAGTAAAATCTGTGTGCAAGCTAATCAGATCAGCTTCATGACAAATTTAGGAGCTGTCCCCCACAACCAGATCAGTCTCCCCAAGTCCCTGAAAGAGAAATTCTGGAGAATCCACTCCTCTATGCCTAGACCACTGTAAGCTAAAATTTCAGCTTGTGACTATCAATTCTCAGGTCAATATTTTCCTTTTATTCCATTTCTACTTAGATCCAGGGTCCAGATATGCAAACATCTTCACCTCTTTTGGTGGGGTATTTTTTCCTAGGTCACCAGTTGTATTAGTTTTCTGCTGCTGCTATATCAAATGATCACAAACTTAGTGGCTTAAGACAGCGCAAATTTATCATGTGACAGGTATGGCAATCTAAAATAGATTTTACTGAGTTGAAATCGAGGTGTCAGTAGGGCTGCATTTTTCTTTTGAGGAGGCTCAAGGGAAGAAACCATTTTTTTTTTGGCCCTTTTCAGCTTCTAGAGGCTACCCACATTCCTTGGTTTGTGATGCCTTTGTCCATCTTCAAAGCCAACAGTGTAGCATCGTCTAATCTCTCTCTGGCTCTGACCCATGTTTCCATCTTCACACCTCCTTCTCTCACCCTCCTGCCTCCTCTTTCCTTTATAAAGATGCATTCGATGGCATTTAGGGCCCACTCGGATAATCCAGGATAGCCTCCCCATCTCAATATCCTTGACTTAATGACACTGGCAAAGTCCCTTCTGCCATATAATGCACCATATTCACAGGGTCCCAGAATCAGGATGTGGCCATCTTTAAGGGGCCAGTTTTCCGCCAACCACATCTATTGTGAACATCGGCTTTCCGCAGTATGGGCTATATGTGGAGCCCGGGTGTTTTCTTTAAGTTCCCATGGGTGTTGTCTAGAAAGGTATGGGAAATGGGTGTTCGAGGAAAAGGGGGCGGCCCCGGGCTCCTGGGTGTAGATTCCCCGTGGACAGGTGCTAGCCCCGGAGCTGGCTCACTCCTCTTGACACAAGTATCCTCATAGTTTCTGACCTCGGAGGTTTTCTCTTATTTTCCTACCAGGCAAACCATTCATTCCAACATGGTTTTACATTTTGTCATATATTTTAGGGGTTCTGGACTGGGAAGATTTCCCCGGACACGCTCACAAAGTCACTGCTGCATTCTCATACTGCACTTGTCCCTACCCGCCCTGCGGCTTACTTTCTACTTCCTGTCATGTCTCTGTGGTTGGGAATTCTGATTCTAGAGGGCCCATTCCAGCTACTATGTGCGGAAGACACTGGAAGTGTTCAGAGCTGAGGCCGGGAGGCCAGGAAGGAGCAAATCCCGTCACTCGAGGTGGCTCTGTGGCCTCTGCAAGCTCTCCTTGCCTCCAGCCTGGGGCTTTTGGTCTGATTCCACACTTTATCAACCAGAGGGACAGGGCTTGGGACATGTGAGTCTGTCCTTGTCCCTCCCCAGCTTGGATCCTTCTGTGGCTTCCATCGCCTCATACTGAGGCTTGGGTCTGACTCCATACCAAGTCTTGGGGTGCAGCTGTCAAACTCCATGGTCACTTCTGGGTCCCCACTCCCGTGATCTCTCTGCACTCCAGACACTTAGTGTCATTTACTGCTTTATGCGGTCTGTTATTTAGTGTCTTCCCTCCCAGGAAGTTTGCTCCAAGTGGCAGGCCCCTTTGGTTCACTGCCTCATCCTAGTCATTAGCCGTGTGTGACAGATAGAGGCTCAGTGGGTCATGAGTAAATGGGGGACTTGGCCAGAGGTTGGGCCAACAGGCAGTGTGGGCGCCAGATGGGAAGTGATGACATGGTGGCAGGGTGGTGCTTGAGTCCCGCAGCAACCCAGCTTACCACCCGCTTCCTTCGCAGCCCCCCTCCCCCCGCCTTCCACCAAACCCTCCAAGGTGCTCAGGAAGCAGCTTCCCTCAGTTCAGTATCTTGCATAAACCATTTATTCAGGAACAAAGAAAGAAAGGAATTGTGGGGTGGGTTCCCAAGGGTGAGATGGTCACTGGGCCAGGCACGTAAGCAGGTAGGGTAGGTGTGTAAGTGCTGCTGTCCACCGCCGCCAGGGGTGTGTACTGCAATGAATGATTGTGTGTGTGTGTGTGTGTGTGGCTGTGTGGGACCCGCAGCATCAAAATTCAGGCCTTCTTCTTCCTCTCCCCTACCCCCAGTTCTTGCTCTGAGACCCCGTCTCCTTCGGTGGCAGTGTGACCACCCTCAGTCACAAAGAGCCCCAGTGATCCTGTCAAGACATCTGGGAAAGAGGGAAAAAAAAAGCATCTTTTTAAATGTCAAGTGGATAAACAGTCAGGGCGCCAGATGTGTGGCTGGGAACCCTCCCAACGGCTCTCAGGCTAGCACTCTCCCCAGTGGTGCTGCCCAGCAAGAAGCCACCCAGAGAGGGCCTGTCCCCCTGGACGCTGGGTGGCCACTGCACCTCTGAGTCCACATTCCCTGGGAAGCTCTTGGAAGAGAAGCAGAGAGGTGACTTCACTGGTGGTAGTGGTGAACCCTTCCCCCAAAAACAGACATCTGGGGACGGAGATGGGTCTGGGAGCAGGTCCCTGCGGCAAATGAGGTGGCTGGAGCAGGCACACGCCCTTCCTGAAGGGGGAAACCACAGGGCAGCTCAGGGCCCAGCTGAATTGGCAGAGCACGCAGGGCCTAGGCCCGGGAACGGGAGGCCACCTGGAATGGTCCCTCAGAATGGGAACCCTCCCCCAAAGAAAAAAGTAACAGTCGCAGAAGAGGCAGTTTCTGGAGCGTGGTTCCGCCCCAAAGCGGCAAGGGTCAGGCCGGTGGTCCCTGGCCAGCCCATAGGCACATTTAATAGGATTCCCGAGGATGTTTCAAGTGGGCAGGACAGGTCTCTCCTGGTGGCTACACTGGAGGGACTCCTAGCTCCTGCCTCTTCCCACAGCCCCTAAATGAGGTATTGTGCTTCCCCACCAACCCTCCCCCCACCCCCCACTGATAGCTGAGCCCCCTCCCTCCATCTCCCCCGTAGCACATGGGTGGTTGGGAGCACCACCCATTGGGGGGCAAGGCAGGGCCCTATGTGGGGTCCAGCTCAAAGACACCATCGCTGGTGGGGGTGGTGAAGAAAGAGGGTGGGTCGGAGGTGGCAGACTCCTGCTCCCCACTACTCCGCTCCTGGGCACGCCTCTCCTCCAGCCGCAGACTGCGCTCGAAGTCTAGCAGCTGCCCCATGAAGTTGAAGTTGGGCGAGATGTTAGACTTCTTCCGCTTGACCAGGTCGTAGGCATCATTGAGAGAGAGGTGGAGCTTCTGCATGAGGTAGGCCACGGTGACAGTGACGGAGCGGCTGACACCCGCCAGGCAGTGGACAAGCACCCCGCAGTTCTGGGACAAGGCCTCATCTAGGTGGGGGGGGCAAAGTGGGGGCCAGTGTGAGGTGCAGGCTAGTGGCCTTCCGGAGGGACCCTTGTAGCCCCTGTCCCACCCTCCAAGTCAGATGGCCCTGGCCAGGTTTGCCCGGGAGCACTGCCTGGGCTGAGGGCTCCTGGCCCCAGCAGTGCCCAACGCCAGAAGTACCATCTTGGCTTTGGGCTCTGGAGATGGCAGTTAAGCTGGGAAGGAGTGGGAGAAGAAATGGGAGAGGCCAGGAGTCCGCCTGGGGCAAAGAGGGGGGGGGGAGGGAGGAAGGGGAGGATGAAGTGGACTCACCAATGAATGCAATGGCCTCCGGAAAGAACTGGGACAGGTTCTGGCTCCAGTGGTCCGAGATGGGGATCTGCTTGTAGTGAAAGTCGCCGTTCTTCTCGAACAGGTTAGGGAGGTTGGGGGTGACATTGAGGATGTATCGGATGCCGAGCTTGGCCAAGCTCTCCACATTGGCTGAATCTCGGGCGCTGCCCAGGTAGAGGTTGTGCAGAATCTGGACAGGAAAGGATGGCAGCAGCCCCCCTGGCGGGGGTGTGGTAGCCTCCAAATCCAGGCCGCAGCTCAAGGTGTCTCGGTCGGCCTCAGATTCAGCATCAGAGGACTCAGTGCCCAGGCACAGGCCGCCCAGCCCCACTACTGGGCTGGGCGCCGAGGCCAGGCTTGAGCCACCGCGGCTGCTGAGGCTGGTCTCACACAGGTCAGGGCACTCAGCCTGGAATCTGCTGAAGCCACCTGAGAGGGGAGAGAGGGAGTGTCCTGCTGATTTGGACTCCTGGGCAGCCAAGTGCCCCTGGCTGGGGATAGGGAACTGACCTTAGACAGTCTCGACACCTGAGGGGGCTTGCAGATGTCCCCAAATAAAACTTGAAAGCCAAATGTTTTAGACCGGCATCACTGCATGGTGTGCTATGGGCAGCCCAGCCACCCTCACCTAGTTAGTACCTTTGGCTACTTCTCTGGACAGCAAGTGCCCACTGTGGCTGCTGGGCCCAGGCAAAGCCACCCCAAAAGGATCTTAAGCCCCCAGGGCCAAGCTGAGGCAAGCATGAAGGCTCAACAGAGTCTAGAGGTACTGCTAGTTTGGGGGAGGACAGAGGCCATCCGTTAAAGAAGAGGAAAGGTTCAGATGCGACTTCTCTGCCTGAGTGTCTCCTTAGCCAGCTCAACTGGGAGCACCCCAACGCAGGGGCCAGGTCACAGCCATCTCTGTGCTCTCTTCAGGAATGAAATGGGACCCCGAGAGGAGGAGAGCCTGGGAGAGAGTGCGGCATTCCACCTGGATGGTTCCAAAGTCCCAAGAAGCAAGCATTTCCTTGGTCTACAGATAACTTTTATTTCCCTGGGCTGGGGTGGGGGCCGGGAAACCCAACACGTTGTATATTTCTATATCCCCAGGCATTCAGAATGGAGCAAGGGAACAAAGACCAATGACCCTCTTTGATGGGGAGGTGGGGACAACTGGCTCTGTAGATTCATGGGAACCCTGTCCTTACCCTGGACTTCTGGAGGGTGTGTGTGTGTGTGTGTGTGTGTGTGTGTGTGTGTGTCTCGGCAAGGAGCCAACGGGCTTGTATCGGCCTGTCTCTCCTCCACCCCCCAGCCTTGTCATGACTGTAAGAGGGCAGGTCTCTGCTTCCACAGGCTCCTTCTGCCTTCACTGCTTCTCTCTCTCCCCTCCCCCCACCAGCGCCTTTGCAGAGCAGGATTTGTCCTCTTGTGTCCCCTGCCTCTTTTGCCCAAGGCTGAGCAGCTGGAGGAGGTGCTATTACTATCCCAGAAATGCCTGGAGCCCGCATGTGGTACTACATTCTTGAAAATCTTGTGAGCCAAGTCAGGTCAGCCAGATTCTCCCCATTTTCCAGACTCAGAAATTGAGGCTCCCGGAGGTAAAGGACTTGCCCAACCGAGGTCATGCTCAGGGGAGTGTAACTCTCCTGCATTTTACACAAAAAGCGGGGCTTGCTCCAGGTCAGATGAACTAACTGTCAATCCCCTTGGAAGGTAGTGGGGCGGCCCTGACTCCCGGGCTGGTATCCTACCCAGGCCAGTGCCCAACCAAGCCACCAAGCCACCGCCACCGCTCGCACCTACCCTGTAGGTAGTAGGCCAGGTAGCCTTCGTCACGCAGCTTCTGGAGCAGGGTGCCCAGCACTGACTCCGGCTCCCACTCCTCGACCTCAGCCTCGTCCTCCCCGCGCCGATGCCGGCTCCCACCCTGGTCGTACAGGAGCACTGGGGCGGGCGGGGGCGGCTGCAGCGGCGGTCCCGGCAGGAGCGCGCGCACCGACATACTCCCCCGCCGAAGGCGACGCAGCAGCAGCGCGGGCAGGGCCACACTCAGCGCCCCGCGGATGCGCGCCGACTCGAACAGCTCGCGGCTGCGGCAGTCCAGGAGCATCAGCCGCGGTTGCGGGGGCGATAGCTCCCGGCGCAGCCACAAGCACGAGCGACCCAGACCCTCCATGGGTTCGCAGCTCTCAGCACGTCGGGCCTCCGGTGCTGCGGAGAGAGAGGAAAGGCGTGCGTTGTGAGCCTGCGTCCTCCGACCTGGCTGCCCCAGGGCGCGGGCTCGGGAGTCAAGATGTGAAGCCAACCCTCGTGTCCTGAAAACAAGCTCTCAGGGTCCCGCAGGGACACTCTCCACCTCCCGATTCTCTTCTCGCACCCCTCCCACAGTGAGAACACTCAGAAGGCTCTCCTGCGCCCCAGAAAAAAAAAACACCCGAAGCAGCCACCTGGGTTCCTGGTCGCTGCTCACTGTCCGGGGAAAGGAAGTGTGAGAGGTCCCCCAGAAGAGGAAAGCTGGGCATCCAACGGCCCCTTTGAGAGCCGTGCGTTCCTTTCCAGCCTCTCCTGGGGCATTCCGAGGCCCCGGCCACCTTCCTCCTTACATACCTTGTTTCTACGTTTCTATCCCTTGGCCTACCCGAAATCACCCCTTACGTTCGCGCTTCCGACTTTGGGAGCGTGTGCGTGTGAGAGGGGTTCAAAGCCGAGATCTTCCCCACGGCCAGGTGGGCCCAGAGAATAAAGGTGGAGCTGAGGTGATGGACCTTGGCTAGCCCTCTCAGATCTGACCCAGCTATGGTCCCCAGCCCGTTCTCGAAAAAGAAAAGGAGACCTGAGGCTTGATCCGAAGTCCCCGCGGTAGCCAGGGTGGAACACGGGCACGGTCTCCAGGCAAGATGTTCCTAGGTTCGGACGAAGGGAAGAAGGCTGTGCTGCCGAGCAGACGGGCACGTGGAAGCAAAGTCCTGAGTCCTTCGCCACCCACTTGCTGGTTGCTCCCTAGCAGAGGGAACTGACTTCCACCTGGGAAGCGGCTGCTTTTGGACAAGGAGTTACGGTTTAGAGGGGCGGGGCAATGTGGGCGGGGTCAGGGGTCCAGCGAGCCAACGGGTGCCAGAGAAAGCACTCGGGTGCCCCCTCCCTCCAGCCGGGGTTTCCACCCAAGCGGGACAGGGCCGGGGCAGAGGCCAAGGGCAGGTCAGGGGCCCAGCAGGGGACCAGCCACAGCTCCCCTGGCCGGCGCCAGTCAGGCCCCGGAGGCAGGGGGAGGGGTGGGGACAAGAGCCCAGTGCCCCTGCCCCAGAGGCTGCTTCCAGCCCTACTCACTTAGTGACCCTGGACTCTCCCGTCCCCACAGTGGACTTCAGTGGTCCCATCTATCTAGTGGCTCATCATGGCCACCACCTTGGGTTACCGTGGGGTGCCACTGAAATCATGGAGGGGAGGAGGAGATAGGAACAGAAATCCATTGCTGCTTTCTGGCCCAGAACTCTGCCCAGGGCTGGCTAGAAGACTAGGCAGGCAGAGGGCAGCTTCTGGACGCCCCCACTGGCTTCCTTTGAGCAGGCCTGGGTAAAGACACCCGGGAGCCCTGAGCTCCCAGTACAAAACTTCGGTGCTCTGCTCTTATCACGTTACTGATCTCGGGAGTCACCCCGGCTTCCCCCTATGCCTCCTGCCTAGTCAAGAGTCAAGAGTCAAGAAGTTTCTACTTAAGTCCCACATCTGTACTCTCTCCTCTGCCCCTGCTCTTGCCAGGGGGTTGTACTTGCCAGATCGTGACCAGGGCGCTGATAGAGCTTCCAAAGCTCTCTCCCTGCCTCTGGGTTTGTCTGCCTCAACCACCTTCTGCCCTGCCCTGCACCAGAACATTCGTTCAGCAAAGGCTGGTGGCCTCCATACCTTCCACGGACACAGGCTGATAAACCGACAAGACACACAGGGTCTCTGCTTGCACAGAGCTCCCAGGCTAGTAGGACAAGCCCGTCATCAACCGGGGACCAGATACCAGGTGTGATAAGTGCCGAGACATTGAAACGAGGTGGGGAAGGTTTCCGAAAAGTCTGAGTCTATGTTCCTTCTGTTTAAAACTCATCTAAAGCAAATAGCAAAGTGAAGGAAAATGTACAGCAGATAAGACAAAGCTCATACAAATGAATCGAAAGGTGAAGACTCCGATAGATAAATAGGCAAGGAACCAGAAAAGACTGCATGAAGGAGGAAACAAGAGGGGGGGGGGGTTCAACCTCAGGCATGGAAGGAAAACAAATTTCAAAACCAAGGTAACAGCCACAGAAAACAAGATAATGCTTCCCACCTATTACATTAGTAAAATGTTCTCAAAATGAGAACACCCAGTGCTGGCAAGGGTGCTGTGAAACTGGCCTGCTGCTCTATTGCTGGTTGTTGGGGGATTCTCTGCCGGCCCTTTTGGAAATGAATATGGTAATATGAATCTAGACCTAGGAAGAAATCCACATCCTGTGGCCACTTCTGGGAATCTACCCTAAGGAGTAAAGTAAAAGAAGGCAGAGCTATGCGCATAGGACGGGATGTCACAAGCCATGTGATTAAGGAGAACAGGGCTCAAAGCCACTGGAAGCCCCAAATTCAGGCTAGTGAAGTCCGGTGTGGCTACTGAAGACTCCTCTCAGATCAGAGTAAGATGAGAAAACTCAGGAAGTAATGCTGGGTAGAGCCAGGCCGCCTCAAAGGGGCCTCGTCATCCCATCTTCCCTTTGTCCCCGGCGCACTGGGTCACCAGCCTGGGTCTAATCTCTGGCCATAGCTCCCCACTTCTGGCCTCTGGGATGAGTCCCACTGCTAGTACTCAGGGGCAGCTAGGTTGTGTCCCCCTTTCCTCAGCCTAGGCCTCCCTCCCCTGCATGCTGTAGAGATTCCGTTCCTTCTTCAGCCCAGCTCTCCCCAAGGTGCCCTCCTCTAGGCAGCCTTTGTCTGTCTCCTGGACTTTGTGGTCTCCCTCCTCTGTGCTCCAGACCTCAGTTCTCTGAGAGTTTGGGAGGCTGGGGATGAGGGTGGAGGTCAGAGCAGGGCCCATTTCCCTCTGTCCCACGTGCTCTTAGGCAGGGACTCTGTCTTCCGGTGTATCCTATCCCTCCATCCTCGCTGCCACAGGCAGAAGTAGGCTGCTACCTGGCCATGGGCCCCAAGACTGGGGGCTTGCTCCAGGCCCACTGCACCTGTGGGTGGGACCCCTGGGGTGGCCAGGGGTTGAAGGCACCAAGTGGCTCTGCCACGTGCCAGCCCAGAGTTCCTGGCTTGGCTGTGTTGTAGGCAGTGAGGTGGAAAGGTACATCTGACAGGAAGGTGGAGAGTCACATACCCCCACCCACCCTGTCATGGGGGTTCAGTGTGGCTGGAGAGAAGGTCTTTGTCCCCCCCGAGGGAGGTAGGATGCCCAGGCATGCTCTCTGGAGAGGGCTTCCTGGAGGAGGTGATACGAAGCTGGCTGGGAAGATGATGGAGAGGGAGGCAACTTCTGCAGTAGTGAAGGGAGAGGAAGCTAGGCTCCAAGAAACACCCCAGGGTGGGATTGTGTTGGGGTCTTTGTCTCCCAACGCCTGAAAAGTGGCTCCCCTGCATCTTCTCCCAATCCTGCTGGCAAGCCCTCCAACCAGAAAAGCGAGTGCTCTGTGCCGGGCGCCAGCGGCTCCCGCTGCGCCAGCAGCAGGACGAACTGGAACCTGTTGCCACCTCCGCACTGCAGGGCTGAGCGCAGCCAAACCCCCCTCCCCCCGACCCTCGCCGCCCGCCCGCACTCGGGCCCCCGGCAGCGCCTGCTCTGGGAGCCCACTCGGGGCGCCCACCCCGCCCCGCGCCTGCTCTCCGGCAGGCTGGGCAGGGGGAGGCGGGCTGCGCGCCTGGGCCTCTCTAGGCCCCCTCTGGCGGGCGGGCGGAGCAAGGCTCTCCGCAGGGTGGGCGTTGCGCCCGCTACCCCAGCCCACGCTGGGAGCTCCCCGGCCTCCTCCTCGACCTCGCCACTGCCCCTAGGAGGCCGCGGGTACGTTGCGGCCCTAGGCCCCTTGCGCGTCGCGTGTGTCCTCTTGTCCCCAGAGCCTCCGGAGAGCGGCGCCCCGCCTCTCCCGCCATCCCCCCATTCCGAAATGTACGGTTCCCGCCGGGCCGAGTGGCAGGATTTCGGCTGTCGCGGCCCGGTCACATGGCCGGGAGCACGACTCCCAGCGACAGCGTTCCTGCCAAATCCTGTGTCTTTTCCACCAAATTCACTTTTTGCTGGGGATGGCTTTCTGCTTTCCTGGTCGGTCTCCTCGTGGGACTGGGAGTTCCTCCAAGGCAGGAGCGGGTGTGTGCATGGCCCCAAGCTGGCCTCAGCCCCCAGTGTGGGGCCTGGCAACAGCTGGGACCTCACGGAAGAAATGCTCGTTTACAACGAAGGCATGAATGAATGAAACCAATTGTTGCACCCAGGGAGCCTGAGAGGGTGCTGCTTTTGCTTTTTCTCTCAGCGTGTTGCACATTGCCCCTCCCACACGAGCACACATGCACACACATTCTCCCCCCAATACACCTAGACACACACATTGTGTGAATTCCTGTGCCCATGGAACCGACCTACTATGTGTGCTGCCTCCATTTCAGTGCCTGCCTCTCGGCTTCCTCCCGTCCCCCACCAACGCCCCGATATCTAAGTACGGTACCTTGCTCCCCAAGAGCCTTCTTTATCTCTTAGGGAAGAGGCCAAACCAGCCGCTGGGGAGACTCAAGGTCTTTTTAGGAAGTCACCTGGTGGCCCTCAGGATGGCAAGTCGCTGCCGAAGACGAGCCACAGGCACCTGGCAGGGATGTCACCAAATGCTGCAGCCTCTAGAGCCCGCGTGCCAGGTGTTGGGGGTGGTGGTGGGAGGGACTCAGGGATGTGCTGGGGGCTGTTGAGGGCTATTTGTGATGGGGGCGGTGCAGGGTGCTGGAAAGTGGGAATCCAGCAGGTGTGCATACATGTTGGGGTGTCTGAGATTACATGCTGGGGAGTGGGCCTGGCTGCGGAAAGTGGGGAGTGTTGGCCACTGGGGTATGGGTTAGTGTTGGGGCTTCACTTGGGGTGGGTGGATTGCAGTGTCTCTGGGCTGGGAATGTGGGTGGAGTGTCTGTAATGAACATATGGGGAGTCAGAGATGGTGGGGGCACAGTGAGGGGAGCTATGTTAGTGCAGAGAGTGCAGGGATGTTTTGGGAATATGTGTGCCTGGGTGTGTTTCGAGGTGTGGCAGGGTCTGGGATGGGTGCTGGCCTGAGTTGGGGACAGTGGTGAGTGCTAGGTTAGGGGCTGCTGTTTGCACTGTAGGGACCTGGGCCCCCGGTGCATGGTATGTGCGCTCGCCTTAAGTGGCAGGGGGTGTGCGTGGCGGAGGACACAGTAGGTGCATGGGTGGGATGCGGGGGTATGTGGTGGCAGGACCAAGCGGGTCTCACAGGGGCGCGTGGTTGGCCCCGTAGGATGTGCATTGGCAAGACTTTGGGGGTGCAGGGTGGAGGAGCGCACGTCGGACGGCGGCCAGGCCGGGTGGGGGTGGGGTGGGGTGGGTGCCCTGGCGCCGCGTGCTCCGCTCACCTCTGTTCACCTCTGTTCCGCTCGGCTTCCTGCGCCGGCTCCGCGCGTGGCGGCCGGGAAGTTTCCGAGGCCCGGGAGGCGGGGAGCGTCACCGCCACTGCCTCCGAGCGCCACTGGAGCCTCGGGCGGCGGCCTCGCCTGGAGCCGAGGGGCCGCCGCCGCCGCCGCCGCCGCTGCGGAGGGAAACTCCAAATCCCGCCTCCGCCGCCGCCTCCTCCCCTCCCGTCGCCGTCTTCTCCGCCCCCTGCCCAGGAGGGGCACTGTCGCCGGCGGCGCGCAGGGAGGGAGCGGGGAGGGGCCGCGGCCTGCCCCGAGTCTCCCTCCACCTCTCCCACCTCCTTCCGTCTTCCTCCCACCTGCAAGCCTTTGCCCACTCCGCTGGCCGAGGCCCCTGTCTGGATATCCACTGCATCCCCTGGCCCCCAACAGCCCTGCTGCGTGGGGGCCCCCGAGACTGGGGAGCAGGCGTGAGGCGGAGGGCCCTATGCTGAGCCTGGGCTGGGGTCCGGTTTCCCCAAAGAATCTCCGATGGCAACCCTGCTTCCTTAAAGAGAAGTGAAGGGGCTCATCGAGGACCGAGTACAGCTTGGCCTCCTGGGCCACCCTCTGTTGCCACAGGGAAGAGGGCTTAAGGTCCCCCTAACAGCACTGCAAGTGCCCCCAACTGCTAGGTCCTCCTGCCCTGTCTTCTCCCAATTCTCACATATTAGGCTCTAATAGTAATAGCATCTGAGCTTGGGTGCCTGGAAAGGGTGGAGCCAAGACATAGGGGAAGGGCTGGGGAGGGGGGTCATTAGGCCCAGGGTGCTTTCCTCTGCACTAAAGGCCACAAGCATCCCCATCAAGGAACTCATTTTTGTCCTTACTCCAGTCTGTTCCCATGTGATAGCTGTGGAAACTGAGGCAGTGGTTTCCTGGTTGTCACGCAATAATGTTGCGGCAGAGCCTGAGTGGGCTCAGATTGGCTGAGTTCCAGAGCTACAGCTGAGTGTGAACAAGGAGGCCTACTGGTTCCTGGATCGGTCACTTCTGTGGGGAGGGGGAGGCAGCTGGGAGCACACAGAGGCTCCCAAGCCAGTAGCTCAGTAGCCAGTTGAGCTGGGGCTCTGCCCTGGAATGAGTCATGAGGGATGCATGAGGCCTTGGTCCCTCAAGGGCAGGCTTCCGGCTGGGGGGGGGGGTTCCCTTCTCAGCTCAGGGAGATCAGAATGAGGTGAGGCCAGGCTGAGATGACATCTCAAAGGAGATGGGCAGAGCTGGGTTGCCAGCCACTCCATGGATGAGGGGCAGCCAAGGGAGGCCTGGCTGCCTGGCTTGTGTCTGCTGCAGTACTGGATTCCCCTGAGTCATTACCCCTGGAAAAGAGAGGAGAGAGACAGCTTTGTTTCTGGTGCCTCAGTTTCCTCATCTGTATATTTGGGGAGGGAGAGGGGACTGCTTCATCTTCAAGGGCCCTCTCAGCTTCATGGCAGTTTTAATCCGTAATGTGTGAGCCGGGGCAGGGTCCTGCTGCCACTAAGCCTACATGCCTGCTCTGCCCTTTGTCCCCTTCTGGCCTCAGCAGATGCCCACTCCCGTCTAGGGCCCTTGGCCCCTCAGACCGTTATTTCTCACCTCCTTCTGCATTAGGGCTCTGGGGTCCAGTGTGGAACCAAACCTCCAAAATGATGCCACCCCAGTGAGCAAACAGAACTGTGTATGGGTCCCGCCACTGGACTCCGTGCTCTGACAGCACTGCAAGTTGTCCTGAAGTTTGGGAGCCTTGGCTAAGAAATGACACCCTAAAAGCTGTGCCGTACGGCAGCAGGGCCATTTTGTCAGCGAAAACACGAAATTACATGGAGATCAAAAAAGATGAAACTGGCTTTCACCCTTTGGTGACCCTCGCATTCGGGGAAGACGTGTCTAGTGGCTGTGCCCATGGCCCTGGACACTCACTTGGCCTCTGGCGAAGGCTTGGTGAGCTGACTCACGGAGGAGTTTCTGGAAAGATTGGATAACCCCCCCCCCCCATCTTGTGCTTTAGTGACTCAGGGCTGAACGGCTGGAGGAGGAACATTTGGATTGAATGATGCGGCCCCCCCCACCCCTGCAGAGCTCCTACTGCAACCCTCCCACAGTGCCGCTGCTCTCCAGGCAACAAGACCCACCAGCGCTGGAGGAAAAGAACGCTAACACAATGGCCAGCCCAGGCCTAAGAGCTCTAAAGGCACAAACCTGCTCCACCTCAGGAAATGGGACCTCCCTCCTCATCCCCAGAGACTTTTCTTGGCTAACAAGGCCTGGCCTGTGCCCTGTTGAGGAATGAAATGGAGAACCTTCTTGAACAGGTCTTGAGTATGAGGCCAACCATGTCAGAACTGAGGTTGTTCTCAAGGCACAGCTGGGCCTCCTTCTTGGAAGCAACTAAGCCCAGGCGCTTCGGTCCTGTCTTCCCTCACAGAAATCTCAGAGTAGGGCGATTGGGTAGCTCCAGCTCTCACCCTCTCCTTTGAGGCCCTGTCCCCTTCCCCAAGAGAAAAACTCTCCCCCAAGGCTCTCAGTGGGGCTGGAGGGGGTGCAGAGAGCTGGGCCTTGCTTGGGATGGAGAAGTCTCCAACCTGGCTGACCCAACTGCTGGCCCTGCTTTCACACGCTGCTCTGGTGGGCCTTTCACTGAAAGTTCAGTTCCTGTTCAGCACCTTTTCCTTTTTCCGATTCCAGGCCACTTGACAAGTGAGCGAAGCTTTGAGGAGAGGTCCACCACCCCATCAGGCCCTGGCGTGGAGATCCTGCTTCCATCTGGAGGGCCATAGCACTGGGGTGCACGCACACCTGAGGAATTATTCCTGGGCAAACGTTTGGTCCTACTGAAAGCAACATCTGCAGCTGAAGACATTTGCTCATATGACAATTGGCCCCCAGGCTGCCATCGCTGCACCACTGGGTAACAAGCTTCACTCCGCCCCTCCCCCACCCGAGGCTCCTCAGCCGGCATTTTGTGGAGTGTTACCAGTTGCCATGCCTTCAGAAGCACATTCTAGACCCTGTTCCAGAGCGCCCCACCTGCCTGTGGCAGCTCCCCAGAGGAGCTACATCAGGACATTCTAAACCAATGGCCCTGTGGCAGCTCCCAGATCTGCACTTGCAGCTGAGGTAAAAGGGTGAGATGCAGTGCCAGGCAGGAGCAGGAGGGAGTAAGAGAGGAGGGAGGGAGGCCAACAGCCAGCCATAGCACAATTGATTTCTGAGGGGCTGGTTCTTTAGGAGCCATTAACACCCCCATTCCAGGAGGGCTCAGGTTCAGGTTCAATAACCTGGTTATAAAGCCCCTCCGACCAGCTGCGCAAGCTCCATCTCCTCGTCTTGTCCTCTCAAGCAGCAGTGCGTGTGTCTGGATGTACATTACAGTTGATATAATCCTTCTATAAGGAGAGAGCCAGACACCCACGTCCATTGGCTGGACAGGCAAAAGGAGGCAAGAGGGAAGAGGAGAGAGACTGGGGAGCCCCTCCAGCCCCCACATGGTGGAAAGGGGAGAAGAGAAGGAAGCAGATGACTTTCCTGGCTTGTCCAAGGGAAAATGAGGGCCGAATGGGGGCAGGCGAGAGGGGAGCCACTGAGGGTAGACGGCTGGAATTGCTACAGACTCCCAGTTGCTGGTAGGAAGGCCTCTGAGAGTGGCCTACCTGCCTTTCTGGCTACCTCTCTCCATTCCTTCTCCAGCAACATGCTTCTCCACTTAGGCCATCTCATCACTGGAAACAATATATAAAACAGGTAGTGAGGCTGGGTCCAGGAGAGGGTCATTCTGACTCCTTGCCCTGGCTGATGCTCAGATGTCTGCGGGGGTGGGGGGGCGACTTCCAGGGATGCTTCAGGTTTTACTTACCTCAGGGCCTCTGCCCTTTTTTATCACATCACTGAGCATCCCATCTGGCTCTCCCCTCACTGCTTCCCCTTGTCCCTCCCAACACTGCAAGGCCCAGCCTGGGCCCCCTTTGGCTCCCTGCACCCGGACCAAGGCTGGTCGTCAGGATGGGTCACGTGCTGCTCTGGGGTTAGGGTGCACTAGCACCTCTCTGTACCTTTCCCCCAAGTGCTGGAGCCATCTCGGGGTAGGGGGGAGGTCTCCATCCTCGAGTCTGCTCCGGGATCACTTCTGTGGCCCCAGCCCTGGGCCTGGAAGCCCTAGTCTCTCACAGAGACTGAAATAACTGAGGGCAGGAGGGCGCCGAGGCCCAGGACAGGGACTTGCCCGAGGCCCTGCAGCTTAGTTGGTGAAGTTGGAGCCCAAGTCCAGAGCTGCAGGGGACAGGGACCACTTTCTAGGGCAGGAGCCAGATGTGACCAAACCAGGGACTGTGGCTGAGCCTTCAGGGCCCAAGTCTCAGGAGGGTGCTGTGCAGGGCCGGCTCACAGAGCTGCTTGGCCACTGGGAGGGAGATTCAGGTGGGACCCTTGGGTGAGGAGAACGGAAGCTCCTGACCACCATTCCGGTAAAGAGGACAATGGGCACAGCCATGGTGTTACTAAACCATTCTGGCAGCACTTGATGAACCTTTCAGAGGAAGAAACTGAGGCACGGAGAGACAGGCTCTAGGACCTAGCCAGGCTGCAGCCTCCATAGTGGGAATTGCCTCTGCCTTTGGGGGTTTGGAGGCTGGCGGGATGGGGTCCAGAGACCTAGTCAGAGCAAGGAAGGAGGCAGCTTCTGATTGTAAGAGGGGCCCTGGTGAGCTGAATGGACTGTCTGAATGGACTGTGGAGAGAGAGGGCCTGGTTCACCTTTGAGGCCAGGCCAACTCCACCGGGGCAAAGCCCTAGTCCATGCTCGGAGGTGACAGATAGGCCTCTGGAGCAGGTGTACCCCAGCCCCGATGAGGGCCTTCTCCTCTGTCACTCTTTCTTGGCCTGTCCTCTATGGAGCCCCTCAGCTCTTGCTGCCCCCTCCCCACTTTCTTGCTTGAGAATCTTGCCACCAGGAAGGCTTGGGATATTTCTGCCAACTCTGTGGGGATTTTCTGTCTAAATTTAGAGTAGCTATTACCCTGCCACAGTACCTGCTTCCCACATTGGTGACTCATTTGCATCCTGAGAGCACCCAGCGCAGATGTGGGGCCATGTGGCCTCCTGGCCCTAAGGACCAGCCCCTGG